AAGAAAGTCTGGAATACAATGGACAAAGAGAACGAAAAACAGCATCGCAAGCGTGAGAAAAACCGTTACGGAAATAGTAAATGTCAAATACTTGAGTTTTGCTCTTATAATTTACAACCCTCCAAATTCTCGTTGAGTAAACACTTTCCTCGAAAATCCAAATTTAGAGAAGAAAATAAATTTAACGGTTACGGTCCCATGTCGTAAAATCTCAGTTCTGGTTATTTCGAAAGGTTCTCTGTTTCACGTGACTAACACGTGTGGGCTCTCCATTGTTCATTGTTTCGCTAGGCTGAGGGCCTGAGACCCTTCGCGACGAAGTTTCACGACGTCACACGCTCCCCTTCTTCCCCTTTTTTTTCATTTCCCCGCTTTTCCTTGAGTTTCACTTTTCCCTCTCCCCTGGGCCAGGATTGCGCGCGCAACTTTTGGTCCGGTGGGGTTGCGGACCCAACCCTTGGAGTTAAATTTAAGTTTAAGTCAGTTCCATCGACATAATTGGTGGTGAAGCCTTCAGCTTCCANTGTTATGTCCTACCGAAGTAACTAGGAGGACAGTAGCGCCAATGAAATTTAGAGCGCCAATTTTTGACTGTAGATTCGTTTGCCGCCAAAGCTCTGATGAGCACTCCATCGAAGTCCAATTGTTTAATCCCAGAATATTTGGTTGGAAGGGTTGAATTGTGAAATAAATTCAACACAAGTGCTTAAGAGAGCACACAAACACTTTTATTCAAAATACTTCAACTTCAGACTTTAAACTTTGCACTACAAAAAAATGAATTTAATAAACTCTAGAAAAACTCTACTGAAAAACTATTTGACGAGAGACGCTGGAAGCTGAAGGCTTCACCACCAATTTCCACGATGGAACTGACTTAAACTTAAATTTAACTCCAAGGGTTGGGTCCGCAACCCCACCGGACCAAAAGTTGCGCGCGCAATCCTGGCCCAGGGGAGAGGGAAAAGTGAAACTCAAGGAAAAGCGGGGAAATGAAAAAAAAGGGGAAGAAGGGGAGCGTGTGACGTCGTGAAACTTCGTCGCGAAGGGTCTCAGGCCCTCAGCCTAGCGAAACAATGAACAATGGAGAGCCCACACGTGTTAGTCACGTGAAACAGAGAACCTTTCGAAATAACCAGAACTGAGATTTTACGACATGGGACCGTAACCGTTAAATTTATTTTCTTCTCTAAATTTGGATTTTCGAGGAAAGTGTTTACTCAACGAGAATTTGGAGGGTTGTAAATTATAAGAGCAAAACTCAAGTATTTGACATTTACTATTTCCGTAACGGTTTTTCTCACGCTTGCGATGCTGTTTTTCGTTCTCTTTGTCCATTGTATTCCAGACTTTCTTTATTCTTCTATTTCTGGTATATTTTTAATTTCCTGAACTATTTAAATTATTTTCCAACAATAATTTGAATCTCGCGGACTATTATGGCTGATTAATAGCGCCATCTATAAATTTCAACGTCAAGACATCACACTGTTTGCCACGTTGAACGAGAGTGAGAATTTTTGTAACTAGACGCAAAGAGGATTGACTAAAGTAGAGGCTCAGATCTCGGGGTTGAAGTGACCCCAAGCCAAAAATAGTTCGACCCCAATGGAGGGATGGCGCCACGGTCGAATCTGACGGCTGGACGACTGCCTGTTCGGGTAACTCGGCAAGTCGGCAGTAGCAGTCCCGCTGTCATAGGGATAATTTCGGAGGGAAATTTATGGTCTCCTCGTCCTCAACATGTTCTTAATGTTTTTCAGGTGATTCATTTGCTGGCTAATTAATATTAAGGAAAGAAAC